TACTTAGAACGTATGGTTTAGTAAAACCTGGGCTTTGCCACTACCTCCTCTCCCTCTCCTCCCTACGGCTGCAAGATTTCTCCTTTTGGCAGATTCTCTCAATACAACTTCATTTCTTTTCACTAAAGAGATTCCATCACTACCCTCTCTGGCCTAGACTCTCACCCTCAGAGCTTCTTTAAGAAGTGGGGTCAAGGAGGTCTGTCCATCCCTCAGAGGCGGACACCTCAGTCTAGGGGTTTCAAGAGTTCCATTCTCTTGTCTGGGTTCTTCCTCTTAGGGAAATCTCTTCTCTTCTTTGGACCTCAGTTTTTTTCATGTACAAAACGAGGGGGACTGGGCCAAAACATCTTACAGGGTACTTCCAATCTTGGCAACCCACACCTCTCTTCCATCTGGCTGATTGCAGCTCCTTCCACACCAGGGCTCCTTTTGTTTGAGAAAATCTGGAATTTGGGGATGGATTCAATGACAAGTTGGCTCTTGAAGAAGGGTCTGTAATATGATCGTGCAGCTGTTTAGTGATTCTACATGAGTGTACGATCATTTCAGGGTGGAATGTCAAAGTTTACCAGACATTATCTTGGACCAGTTCTCCTTTTTCCATGAGGCCAAGTCATTATCCTCAAAAGCATTACTAATTGTGCACATCCACCAGATGCTGGAAGGCCCTCGCTGGAAGCAGAGGACCCTTGCCGGGGGTCAGCCACCTCATTCTGCTTTCTCCTTGGCTGGGCTTACGCTGGAGGGCCTGGCAGGAAGCCAGCCTGTGCCCTGGAATAAATGACTTGTCAAGTCACCAGCCATAGCCTGGGGAGGTGCTCTCACACCCACTCGGCCTTTCATTTATCTTTATGGCAGTAAAACCAGCTCTCCTAGAAGTCTACCTCATGGAGGAAAAGGCTAAGTTACAGGACCTAAGTTTTATTAAAAAAAAATTTTTTTTTTGCAAAAACTTCCGTGGTTTTTAATTTTAGCATAGTTACTTTCTGGCAGTCATCAGAACAGGGCTGTTTGGATGTCATCTAGAAGCAGAGAGGAAAAGGAGATGGCTAGCTGACTGGGCTGCCTGCTGGATTGACTTGGGTTGCTTTCTCACAGGCAGATCAAAAGTCTCCTGAGCAGTTAACCCTCAGCAAGAGAGTTACTCCTACAAATGGAGAGGATTTAGCAAAACCAAGCAAGTACTGCGTGCAAATGCTTTGCATTTATCAGCACTGGAGATTTCCAGTGGCCTCTATAAATATCCTGAAGGTGAACTTTGGCTCCACTCTGAAAACATCCCTAAGGTCTATTAACCATCCTAACCCACAGGGGTAAGGTTCCCCAGACTCTTGGGATGGTGCAGAAACCTTTTCTCCATTGCAGTAACTATGTTGGGCAGGGCTGTTTAGGTCTGCTTGATCTCTTTTTCCTTGGTGATACCTCGGTGAGACACTATATTTTAATCTCTGATGATCACTGTAAGTGCTAGAATAAAAATAGAAAATGAAAGTCTTGGAGAAGAGGCAAGACCAAAAAGGAAGAGATACAATGAGTCATATGTCCAAACAAGAAATATTGGGAAGGTCACTTGTGAGAAGGAGTTGACTCAGGGAAGGTCTTCAGGGAGTGGTCATGAAAAAAGTTTGGAGAGCAAGCAAGGACATGAGCCTCAGAGAAGCTGACTTGGGGAAGAGATGCCTCAAACTAAGAACACACCTGTAAGAAGTTCCTGTAGGGGGAGGGCAGGGTAGAGCACCCTTGAGGAGCCTGGAGACCTTCTGAAGTCAGATCCAAACTGACTTCTACTGAAGGCCCAGAGAACCCAAAGAGAAGGCTCCCTACTCACACAGAAGCCAAAGAGGTCAGGGGCAAAAAACAGTTTATGGGAAGCTAGGCAGAGAAGAGGGAGGGGGCCGGGGAAGGTGTTGGGTAGAATTTAATGGGGCTCTAACCACCAAGATGGAGTCCACATCCTCTAAGAATGAGTGCCTTTGACCCATTACAAAAAGTTACAGGGAAAGAGTCAAGAAATTGAAAAGGCAAAGGAATGATTTCTATTTAGGAGCCTCCTGGGCCATTCCACCACCAACCAGGTGAGCCACAGCAGCTTTCCTCTTCCTTTTGCTGAAAATTCCTCCCATATCTGTGAATACAAAAGTACGTCAGCATCACAGAATTGGAGAGCAATCCTGCCTTCTCATTTTACCAATGAAGATACCTAAAGTCAACTCAAGAGCTGGTGGTCGAGCCCAGTTCTGCTGGAGCCAAGTTCTGCTCCTTCCCATGCCCCAATTCCCTCCCTTTCCCCATCAATCTCTGGCCCCCAGAAGGTGTGTGCTTTATACCCCCACTTTTAGGATCTGAGAGTCTCCTGTGATGTCTGTCTCTCCCTCTGCCCTAGAGATCCTCCCATCTTGGCTTCTTGCTCATGTGAACCTCTGCTTTCTGGGTTCCCACCTGTTTGGCAGCATCTGCCAGCTGCTGTAGGCCTGTTGGCTGCCACCCTTCACTGCCAGCTCAGGAATCTCTCCTGGCCTCCTCAGGGATGTGGACTTACACTCTCATATCCACATGTTCCCTACCTCCTTCCAGGGTAGGCACATGTGTGATTCCAGGCAGCTGCTAAGACCTGTCCCCAGCACCCTGCACATGTGCAGACACACAGATGGGAGAGATGAGCACGTGGGGGTCTGTGGGTAACATATGCCTGAGTGCTGGTTACATCCTGCCCTAGTCCAACAATGAACAGTGAAACTCTCGTGACTGAGAAATTTGGATTTCCTCGACTTCTGATTGTGGGTTTACTGCTTAAGTCCAAAGCTTCTGTCTTTTTGAGAACTGGTTAAAAGTTAAGGGGATCCATTCAATAGGGGGTCAAAAAGATCATTTAAAACAGGTTCCATTAACCAAGATCCCATACAAATCCATGGAGGAAAATAGAAGTGAGACTTAGGGGCCAGAAGAGCGGCTCTGCAGGAGGACTTGGTTTCTGTCTGGGGGGATGAGCTGTCAGATCCTTTGCTCTGGAGAATCCCTGGCTCCCAAGCGGCACTGAGCTAGGATGGAAGCATGACTGAAGTTCAGCTGTAGGAAATGATCTTTCTCCTGGACCATCACGTGGGCTTCAGAGAATCTCTCCAGACCAGAGGCCCCGACTTTGTTCTTTCAAAGGTAAATGACTCAGGTTCTCCCACTGAGACCCTCTAGGTGTTATTTATTCCTTTGAAGCCAAAACAAACTTCTCAAACACCTGTTCTGAGCTGGGCACTGGGGTTGGGTTTCTGGAGAAGCAAAGATAAGCTGAGCAGGATCTGCGGCCTTGCAGAACTTAGAACAAGGTCAAGAGAGCTCAAACTGCCTTGAATTGGGGAAGTTTTAAAATAGATTTCCAAAAATGCTTTCCCTGCATGGCTGAGAAGTTAGGTCCCCAACAAGCCTGGGTGCAGGTGGCATCAGAGCCCCTCTGTGATGGAAGCAGGTGGCTAAGGGGTCATCTGTCTAGGCCCCTCTCACTTGCCTTTCTGTGGTCCTTACTGAGCGGCTGCCTCTGCCAGGGGCTGGGCTGAGGCAGCTCCTGACCCTGGGAGTGGGAGGCACTATGGACCTGAGCATCTGGTGCTCTGGTCCTCTTTTGAAGGAGTCAGGTGGGGACATGTCCGTACCTCAACGCATCCTGAGCATCCCCAGGGAAATACAGGATGCTTCTCTCCTTTTCTAGCCACAGCTTTCCTTAATGTCAGTGGATGGATCAGGGTCTTGAATGGAACCCCCAGGGAGGCTTTAAACATTGAAAGTCAGTCTCAGGCCAGGGCCCCCACCGGATGGGGAGAGAGCATGGGAGGAAGCAGAAGTGCTTGTGTTAACAGAATGTCATTTCCCAACATGATTCAGACCCCGGCGCAGAGGCAGGAAAAGGAGAGCAAGACTCCCCATCCATCACGTCGGACACAGCTATTTTTAGAGCACACACCACCAGCTCGGCGCTGGGCTCCAAGGGCCCTGCCGTACAAGGATATGAGGCTGGGCTGATAGAGTCAGTCAAGAGTGGAGATCTTGCAGGGGTGTGTGTGTGTGTGTGTGTGTGTGTGTGTGTGTGTGTGTATATGCGTGTGTAGAAAAAGGACTGGTGGGCACACAGCCTTCTTCCTAAAGTGCACCCCTGAGCCTGGCCCCTCATGTGAGCAGGAAGGCAAGACTGAGCAGGAGGTGATCTTGGGTGGGGGGTTGTCAAGGGAGCCGAAAGGCCCTCGGCTGTCTCAGGACTGCCCCCCTCCCCCGCCCAGCCCCATGGGGGTCTGACCGGCCCTTTCATGTGTGTACAGGACTCTCCTACCCCTCTCCCACCCAGGTAGAGGGCAAAGCAGCCTGAGCCCTAGGCTTGACAGGATGTTGGCAGCCTGTTGGTGCCCCCTGGCTTTGCCGTCACAGCCTTGAAAACATCTGGCCAACGTGAAGGCACATGTGCCCAGATGAAGAAGACATCCCTGCACAGGGCATTGGGGCCCTCTGCAAAGGGCATCTAGGAAATAGGTTCTGCCCCAGTCAGCACCTCAGCACCCATGTTACTAAAATACAAACTCTCACCTGGGTGTAGAGAGAGAGCCTTTTGCGAAAGGAACAGAAAAGTGGCTTCCCTTCATTCCCCCTCCTCCCGCCCCCGCGTTCATTTCTGGTCCTCTCTCTCTAACTGAAGGGAAGAGGAGGCCCGCCTTGAACTCAGCCCCTAGGGAAGACCGGGTCCAGGAGTAGCCCCAGGCAGTCTTTCATCTCAGTTCCAGTCAGTCTCCTCTCATCTTGTTAATGTCCTGCCCTCCTGACTTCCACCTCTGCCCTAAAAGAGGTGCCTAACCTGGCCTGTCCTAATCCTGACCAACATGAACTGCCTAGGAGGGGGCTGTCTCTCTCTTCCTTCTCTCTGTGAGGCTCTTCAGATGCATCGTGCAGTCCACAAAAATGTCGTTTATCCTACATGGGCCTCACAAGGCCTCGGAGTGGATCCACTTACCCTTAATAGCTCAGATATCCCTGAGGTTCTGGCCAGTTTTGAACCTTCTCACTGGCAGAGAGTTTAGCTGACTTCCGGCACAGTCATGGGGTGGCTTTTCACAAGGCAGGGCTGCTGAAGAAAGCATCCCACCACAAGTCCTTGCGGCCATGTCCCAGGAAATCAGGTCAAGGCTTGAGGGAGCCACCAGCTTGGTGTGGGCAGGAGTCTCTCTGCTGCCTCCAAACAGCATCCAGGAGAGGGAGGGTTCTCTGCTTTGCACCATGACCTAGGGTGGTCAGAGGATGGGGAGGAATAAGGAGACAGACAGCTAGTTCATTTATTTTTAACCTGTATCTTTTCCTCTGAGGAGTTATCAGAAAGAAATACCATCCAGTTGGTAATATAGCGAGAGAAAATGCACTTGACTGTGTCTGAGGACAATTGAGACGGATCAGTTGCAGGCAGGCAGGTGGGGAGGAAGTAGTACTGCCTTGGAAGCCAGGTACCCCATCCCAGCTCTGCCACCAGCTTACATCCATTGTGACCTGAAATTCATTTTTCCTGTCCATAAAATTATTTATTATTATAAAAGAACTGCAGTGCTACCCACCTCAAACTGTGCAAGGAAAAGCAAGGAATAATGTTAATAAAGCAGCATCCCAATATGCCACCAAATCAACGTTTTTTACAAGTGATGCTCAGATGCCCTCATCTGTATGTTCTGGGAGCTTGGAACAGAGTAGGATGAGTCACATGCCTGCCTACTCCTTTTCCAAGGACCTGAAACCAACTAACCTCTGCTCTTCCTTCCTTTGAAGCCCTAGGTATGATCATGCTTGGAAGTCCCTGGGAGGGTCAGGCTATTTGTCTGGCTCCATCACAAGCTTTGTGATGTGGGAGGCAGAGGTACCCCTCTATGCTCCATTCTTCCTGCTAAAGCTTTTCCCCGTTTCCCTTTTGGCTTGCCCTGGTACGTTCAAAACCTATCACCTACCTCTCCATTATGTTCTTCTCCAGCTTTCTTTTCTCATCTTTCCAGTCCCTCTCCCTGGTGACTGTTTGACCTTTTCCCTCTAATCTCTCTGTCTTCCCATGCTTCCTTCTCTTTTCTGAGCAGGTGGCTAACGAAACTGGGAGACACACAGAGTTATACACACGCCAGGTTGAGATCACCTTCCTACAAATGAGGAAATCTTCATGATACTGCGGTGCCAGATGTGGTGTTCCTGGGGTGCTGACAGAGGAGACATTCCATTTGACGCTCAGCAGGGTCTGGAGCTGAATGAACCACATCATCAAGACCCTGACGCATAGATTGCAGCTGCTGATGGAGCATTCAGTTGTGCAGGAGAGACCTCAGCCTGCAGATCCTCTAGAGCTCATACCTCTGCTCTTCTTTCCTCCTCACACACCTGACTTAGCCATGTGGCACTTTGGTCATAAGGATAGCAAAGGAGTCCCAGAGACACAGGACAGAGGCAGCCTTCCAGGATAATCTGGCACTCTTCTCTTCCGTTCATAATAAGGTTTACTTGAGAGGAAACTTGCAAATAAATTCCAGCCTCAAAGACTGGCACCAGTTTTTTTTGGGTCCAAGAAACTCGCCAGGTTGAAAAACCAATGAAATTGGCATCCTTCACTGCAAGCTTAGCACAGATAACTTCTCATTCTTGGTAGGTGGGTGAATGCAATCGTACAGGACTGTTGCAATAAGCTGAGGCTGCGTCTAGACACATTGATCAGCAGGTTCAAAGGTTGTCCTGTTATGCCCAGTTCCACCTCTGACTCTACATGACCCTAAACATTGTTTTGTTTTTTGTGTGTCTCGGTTTGCCTAATTTATAAGACAGACTGGTAACAGGGAGAAACCAATACATAACTGGGGTGGGGGGGAGGAAAATGCTATGTAAATAATAGTAGAGATTCCCCTGCTGTTTGCTTGACAGCAGTTCACTTTAGAAGGTTCAAGATCCTTTTGATCTGAGATGAGAGGGACCAGCTGATGAGAGATGGAGTCTGATTTAACCCAGAGTGAACTTTCCAGAAGACCTTTGTAGATAATTTGTGATGCTTCTTTGTAGTCTAAATGCAGGACAAAGGTGGAGACGATGGTTTGTAGCATTGCTAGCAACCGCAAACTAGGATTTCTGATAAAACCATTTTCTTCTTTCTGCCCTGTTTATGCTTCCAATGTAGGTCATTCTGTAAAGACTCAAGTGACCATTCCCTCTGAACAGGTACTTCTGACTCTACCAAGACCATTCAGGCTATATATTAATATTTAAGTAATTGTAGTTCAGTTGGTTAAGGATCCGCCTGCAATGCAGCAGTCCTCCTCCAAAGCAGGAGACCCAGGTTCAATTCCTGGGTCCGGAAGATCCCCGAAGAAAGAAATGGCAACCCACACCAGTATTCTTGCCTGGAAAATCACATGGACAGAGGAGCCTAGTGGGTTACAGTCCATAGGGTCACAAGAGTCAGACACAACTTAGCAATTAAACTACCAATAGTAAGAAATGATAACTCACTATATCAGCAGGTATGTAAAGTTTAGAATGGAAAGTATCTTCAGCATCTCTGACTCCCTACTTCAGGGATGTTAAGATCATGTGACTCAGGGAACCAGTATGGAAGAGGGCTAGTTGGGAGGCGGGGGGGGAGGTCACAAAACGTACTTACTAGACCACATAGAGCTGTCTCCCGGCCGTCCTCCCTCACGTCTCCACGGCCAGATTGGAGCAGGCTGTGGAAAAAATTCCTGTCTATTTTCAGAAACAGATAAAAGCATTCAGATTATGCAGTGCAAATCTCAGCCTGAAAGCAGCTGGAAAAATCTGTTCCCTGCCACTGTCACTGACCCCCCTGACCCCTTCAAGTAATGACATTCAGGCCTGCTTCCCCTCATCTCCCCTCATCCCTACCAGCACAGTGACCCTTCCACCACAGACCTGCTCCTTGTCTGTACTGTCAGAGCGGTCATGCCTCTGAGAACTGGAGACAATGGGATTGAAGACGATAATACATATATATATATATATATATATATATATATATATATAAAATATCCACTCGTTCAAGGAGAAATCAGCATTAAGTCCATGTTTCTTTTTCCTAGGATTTTAGGGGAGCATTTTTACAGCACTGCCTGGCCCGGGACTCCCTCCCTGGGGCTCAGAGAGCAGGAGCTCCAGTCTCAGGCAAGCACACCGGCCGCCTCTGCTAACAAGATCCCCTCTGGGAGAACAATATTCTATGCTGAGCAAAGCTGCCTGAGACCAGATGTCTCTGTGTCCTGATCTCCCCCAAGCATATGAGGCTTGGGAACACTGAATAGTTCATCAAGCTGGACCTCTGGTACAGGGAATTATTCCTGGCTTTAGGGTAAAGCCTATTCAGAGACGCCTCCACCGTCCAGTGCATTCTGGTTTGCAATGAATCAGTTATGCTCTGAAGATATGCAGTCGTAAACACAATAAAGCAGGCTTAGTACCTCGGGAAGCAAATAACAGGCATTCACAGTCCTGAGGACCATGCTGTGAGCTTTTTACCTGGGAAGCCCTGGGGGTCTCAGGGCTCCATATTGAAATTTTCTTTCCTTCCAGAATGTCTTGTGCTTAGTCCTCTTCACTGAATAATTCATTAAGCACCAAACTCCTCCTATAAGAGCACAGGTCTGGACTGCTTGTTTTCCCACTTTCCACTCAAAGCAGTGGGTTCACAGCTCAAACAGAAACCAAAGCAAGCAGCTGCTGAAGGAACCAGAAGGGATGACTCTCCCCTGAGGGAGTAGGATGGGCCTCTCATTTCCTCCTCCCTGGTTTCCTCCTCTGGATACACCAGAGAGAAGGCAGGGCTGGGATGAAGTAGCCACTATTCAAGCAAGAATCTATCTTTTCAAGATAGAACAAGGGCTAGCAGATGGACGGAGCCAGTCGTCACAGCCGACATGGGCTCTTGGACTGGAAAAATAGGCAGGAGACAGGTGCTCAGACAACCACAGGATGTGGGGAGAGCTGGGGAACTTGGGACCCTGCTAAACCCCACCAAGGTTCAAGCTTCACATTTCTGTTTCTTATTTTTACGCCGAAGTTCATATTCTGTGAGGCAAGAATCAAGGATCAAAGTGGACATGATTTTGATGTTTAATAAAAAGTGGCAGCAGACAACAAGCACATGAAAAGATGTTCAACGCTGCTCATCATTAGAGAGATGCAAATCGACATGACAATGAGGTGTCACCTCCCACACCAGTCAGAATGGCCATCATCACAAAACCTACAAACAATAAATGCTGGATAGGGTGTGGAGAAACTGGAACCCTCCTGCACTGTTGGTGGGAATGTAAGTTGATATAGCCACTATGGAGAACAGTATGGAGATTCTTTAAAAAAAACTAGGATTAAAACTACCATAAGACCCAGTAATCCCACTACTGAGCATATACTCTGAGAAAACAATAATTGAAAAAGCACATGTACCCCAATGTTCATTGTAGCACTATTGACTGTAGCTAGGACATGGAAGCAACCTAGATGTCCGTCAACAGATGAATGGATAAAGAAGCTGTGGGACATATATACAATGGAATATTGCTCAGCCATAAAAAGGGACACATTTGAGTCAGTTCTAGTGAGGTGGTTGAACCTAGAGCCTGTTACACAGGGTGAAGTAAGTCAGAAAGAGAAAACCAAATACATATTAATATATATGTATATGGAATCTGGAAAAATGGTATTGATGAGCCTATTTGCAGGACAGGAATAGACACAGAAACATAGAGAAAAGACTTCGGACACAGAAAGGGAAGGGCAGAGTGGGATGAATTGAAAGACTAACAGTGAAACACATACATTACCATGTGTAAATTAGATAGTTGATGGAAATTGCACACAGGGAGCTCAGTTAGTGACTCTCTGACAACCTAGAGGGATGGGAGGGAGGCTCAAGAGGGAGGGGACATATGTCTACTTATGGCTGATTCATGTTGTTATATGGCAGAAGCCAACACAGCATTGTAAAGCAGTTATCCTCCAATTAAGCATAAATTTTAAAATCAGTGGCAGAGTACTAAGAAAAGCCATAGCTCAAATCATACCATCTGTATGTCTTTGAATGCTTCATATAGCTCCAGGTCTTTGCTCAGGTGGGTCCCTCCCTCTGCCTAGAATATACCACCTTCTCTGCTTGTCAAACTCCTACGTATACTTAACAGCCCAGTTCAAATATCTCCTTTTTTGCAAAGCTTTCCAAATATCCCTTCAAGCAAAATAAATCACTTCTTCCTTT